ATGCTTGATCAAAATTGGTAATGTCTTTCTTTTGTTTTTGTTTTAGTTTTGGTTCAGATGCCATATAGGAAAGTGACAGCAAAATGTTTTCAGTAGAGAAAATATAATTGATAATTGTTTCTTTTTTTCGTATTTAGAAAGCCTTTAGTCTTTTTTTAAAACAATCCTTTGACCCAAAATAGGTATGTTACATTAACATACTGTTTTAGACTCACACGTAGTGACTACGTCATTAGGTCGTGTAAATGTAATTCGGCATTTCCACTGAATGGTAGTCATTCTATAATTATTGACTAAATTGATAACAAAATGTACAAACATAACTTAAATGCACAGATGAGGACAATATAATCAATTTTTTATTCTCTCTCGAGGTGAAGCACAGTCAAGATGAGTAATTTTGCATAATAATGTGAATCGTTTCAAACTAGTAGTTATCCGTTGATATGGGTAAAAATTTAGTGAACGGTAGTTGTAGTTCCAATGACATATGAGCACCTTCACATGTGATTTAAACATTTTTCTCGAAAACTGTTTGAAACACTTCAGAAAGCACAATCACCAACGATGTTTCTCAGAACACCAGACTACAAATGTTTCGCAAAATGTTAATGTGTAAAGCACATTTATGTCCATGAAAGTAACTAAGACACCTTGAAGCACTTTCTAAAACAAACACACAAGGTAAGACACTTTATAAGTGTTTATGTATACGACATGTACACAAGTTCATAAGAGTAACTAAAACACTTTTCTTTCAAACACTTTTCTTTTCTTGCCGACATCCCCCAGAGACATGATCTGAATTACCAAATAAAATTATAGAAATGTTGCAGAATTTAACAGGAAAATGCAGTTCAATTCGTGTTAATGGTGTATTTCCGTTTTCACATTACATGTGCGTTAGTTTCAACCAACAATAATATTTTACATCTCATATTCGAATATCGCATTGCTTGAAACAATAATTATGATTAATTAAACATTCATTTTATTCAAGAGAAAAAATCGAAGCGGACAAGATGATATTGCTAATATTCGGAATCGCAATAAATGAAATTAATGATTTTGTATTTGTTTCACTGTTTATTTCCCCGGGAATTTGATGTGCCCGAAGAAACTGCATTCGATTCAGCAAGACTACATGGAAAGAGATTATGCGCTTTCATTTATGTCAGTGATGCAAATACTTTTCAAAATGTGTGTCTAGTAAAATCATTTACTAGTGTTATGTTAATAAGCACTTTTTATATATGTAAATGTTTGAAACAATTTTGAATATGTCTGTCTAGTGAAATCATTTTTGAAAAGTGTTGTGATAATAGGCATTGTTTGTACATGTTTCTAGTGGAAACACCTTTCAATATGTGTTTCTAATGAAAACTCTTCACATAATATGTTTTGTGCAAAAACATCCCTGAAATGTTGCTATGAAAACACTAACTGCAAGTGTTTTCAGAATATACACTTTTCGAAATTATGCAGACTATAAACACTTTAATTGTTTTTTAAAGCGATGAAAAGCTTATAAACAAATGTTTTTTCACAAAACAGTACAAATGTTTTATTTTAAAACAGTAATGTTGTAAAATAACTTATTTGCGATTTGAAAAAAAACACTTATAAAAAGTAGGGACAAAACATCTAGATTTACAGTGTAGCAGCACTATGATTTGGATTTTTGATTATGGTGAGAGATTTTTCATATGCAAATACTGTTTTAATTTTCCTATAGGTTCGTAACTTGCTTTTTTGTTTGTACTTTTATTGTCATCATGTAATGTTTCTGTGCTATGTATTTCAAAGGATTGTTCTAATTTACCTGTCGTTGTTTCAATGAATTTTTTGTCATCCTGAGATTTATGGGTTTTCCATATATTTCCCACATTCATATTTTTTAAAATATGTTTTATGTCTATTACCAAGTTGTCTTTTCCCTTCCCATCAAGATGTATTCCAGTTTTATAAGCTTCATGAACTACGAATTTGGATTAGAATTATTTATTTTGATCCAATATTTGATCATATATTTTAAGCTTGTTGCTAGAAGAGGATGTCTTGCCAACTGCAGCAGGCTTGGCAAATTACTTGCTTTGCTATTTATTTCAGAAGGTATTTGCGGAAATGTATTTGCACTTTTTCCATTGTGTAGGCAGATTAGCCATACGACGTGATTTGTTGATGTTCGAACACTTTTTAGTATGTTTTGATTGGAATCAGTATTTCTGAGAATAGCACTAAAATAATTACTACTTTGTACTTACATATACAAATAATAACTCCCTCATACGTACACACGAAATTCGAGCCCGCAATCAAGAGGACAACGTGTATCACCAGTCTTAACACCCTCACATCTAGCTCCTTACCCTCTACTAACTCAAACCTACATTGTATTAACCCGTTCACCACCAGTTCCCTCTTTTCATCACAACTTCACAAAACAATTCAATTTTGATCATACATCCACAGTTACAAAGAGATTGCTCAACTTTTTTTTTCCCAACATCAAAAACCAGAAACAGATTTCAATATAAATCTCCTACAACACTGAAACTATAACTCAACCTTTTCGTCACCAGTTTCCTATTTTCATCACTAATTCATAAAATAGTTCCGTTTATAGTCTGCACTTTCCTTCAGAAGATTGGCACAAAAATATCCAAAGTTTTTGAGTACAAACTGAAAATTTACTCAAATTTTGACCATGGGCTCCAAAATTAGGCTTCATTTATAAAAATCAAAATGAGATGGGGCAAGAAATTCTGGTGGTGAGAAGGTTGAATTATATTCACAGTAACGCTGTGGCGTATGATTGATATCACAATGTCGCATAGTGATAATAAGAACCGAATTTATAATGCGTGTCGTTTTCAAACTTGTCTGGGCCGATATGATGTAACCTAAATGGACGCTTTTTAATCAGGCTGAAGTATATTTTTGTCGTT